TACCACGCTGAGCGCTGCGTGGGCACAAACAATCTGAGAGGTTAAGCAATAGTAACGAAGACTGGATGAGGAAAAATAAAGGTGGCATGTTGGGTCGGTGCCAAGAGTTTCCCACAGAACTGTTTGGTAAAAACAGCAGTCGCGGTTGGAGCAGGCTCGGCCCTGGCTAAACAGGGGTCTGATGTTGTCATGGGACGCGTGCTGCTCGGACAGTGCTCATTTGGAAGGGATGCAAGTGTACCCTCAGCTCCCTGCCTCCTGTTTACTTATGTTTTTTATGCATCTTCAACCCTCATCCGCTCTTTCATCCTGCTCCCTCTGGGAGTACTTTCCTTGCTCCACATCTCTGCGCAGCTTCACATAGCTTCTACTTCTGTGCTGTAACAACTTGCCTGAGGAGTGTTTTGGTTTCATTCAATAGATGAGATCTCACCTACCCTCACCCCTCTCACCGCCTTCCTTCGCATCTGTGGCACTGGCGCCTGGCCCAGGATGTGCAGTAGTCGGTCCTTATCCACTGACAGGTTTTTCTTCTGCTCCCTTGCAGCCCTTCGGGGCGAGGAGCCGGTGCTTTATTCTGCTGAGAGAGGAGGTGCTTTAGCTTGCAGTTGCATCAGCTTCCAGCTTTGGATCTCTGGCTGAGCTCTGTAGAAGACACGCCTGGGTGCCAGCCCCTGCGTCTGCCTTTGCTGTGAAGAGCAAAAGCTGTTGGATGGCTTCAATTTCCTTTCTTTTACACATTAGGAAGTTTGGGGCCCTGGAGGCTGCTTACCCTCAGTGCTGGTGGTTGACCTGGCCCCGCGCTCGGGTTGTAAGCATGATGAGCAGGTGACCTTCAGCGCAAGGGCAGGCAGCGCTGCCGCGATGGGCAGCAGCATTCAAAGGCAGGAAGAGTGTAAGGGGCAGGAACAGTGAGCAACATTAAAAAAAACACATTGTGCAACTTTGAAATGCTCTTGCTGAAGCACAGACTTATATTCCTGATGTGAAAAGCTAGAGGGACGTGAGCAAACCCAGGTGCCTTTATGGTGAAGTGTGAAAAAAATCAGGAAAAAAAATCTGTTTTGTGTTTATCCCTTTCAAATCACCATTAGCCTTGTGACAAATTGTGCCCCATAAAGACAGCAGCTCTTGGGCTCCTCCTGCAAGGGATTTTTCTTGGCAAAAGGCACGATGTAGCTATTACTGGAATAAGCTGAAGCCTCTGAGACTTGTGGGCACAGACAAGAAGCAGAATGGTGCAGGTGCTCTCCAGAACCCGTAAAGTTTTTTGTCATAGCACAGGGAATTTCTTAAGAAGGAAATTTGTAAGAATGAGCTCCGCTTTTTGACAGAGTGCTCTGGTTTGAGCATTTCCAGTCTGCTTCGCGTCATTTAGGAAGAAGGAAGAAACCACTGTAGTTATTTTGCAGACACCTTGTTGGCATTCCCCTCGTCTGCAGCTGTGCTGCATTTCTGCTTTTCCGGACCCCCGTTGTGAGCTCTTTCGCTCTCTATAAATTAGAAGCAATTTCCGTGCAGTCAAGGCTTAAATTACAGTTAAGCATGTGCCGTTCTATTTTGCCAGATCAAGCCCCAAAACATGCTGCTTGGGGGAGCATCGAGGCACTGTACTACTACTTTGGCACTGTAAAAGAGCAGGGTCCAATTCTTCCTGGATCCAGCAAGTTTTGCCCATCTCTGGTTGCTCAAACACTGTGATTTCCTTCTCTGAAACGCTATATTGTGTAATGCTAACAAAAGCAAACGCATGTGCAGCCCTCACTCCCTGGAACCATGTACCACCACCTACAGAAGAGCTGTTTCCTTCCAGCCGGCAGCTCTCCCTCGAGAAAGACTCAAACAAACAGCCGCGGACCCCAAGTACAAGAGCCCCCCACCACGGGTACAGAACAGGGGAGAGTTCCCAGACAGAGGCAATACCTTTATGTTAAAACTTGGCCAAAATAGATGCGAATCCCCACGCTGCTCTGCATGAGCATGGTGGGAGGAGGGAAGGTAGGAGTCTTGGAAGGGAATTGGGGAGGGACGTGCGGCGTGAAGGCAATATAGTTTGCATCCTACGGCTCAGTAAGGAAAACAGTCTGTGGAAAAGGCTTTAAGAAAAGGCACTGAGACCTTCATCTAGTTTTACCTCAAAGCGGCGTTCAGCTTAGATCGTGTCATGTCTTTCAGAAGTACCTGAGGCATCGTTGATGTTGGCAGGAGGAGCCAGGGCGGATGCACTGAATGCAAGGGAGAAGCAGAAATGCCTGTGACAGTGTGGGGGTGAACTCAAAGCGCCAATATCTGTTTGCAGATGGCTAGATAGCAAAAGGCAGATCTAATTCCCTCAGAGCCAAATGTGCAGAGCTACTGTTGTCCGGTATACTATTGCCAGATAACTGGGAGAGGAGAAATTATCCAAACACATCCAACTATCTTTTTTTTTGCCCCTCTTCTGGCTTTCTTCAGTTCTGGCTGTGGATTTTCACCCATCACTGCATGTCTGTTGATAAAGCAGTCCTTGAAAACTCCAGTGTGTCCTTTCTCGGGGCAGTATTGTTAGATACGCACACTACAGGACCAAATAACTCCTAACGACAGTCTTGTATGTCCAAACCAGGACTTGGCCCAAGGTAAAAATGCAGCAGTGCTTACCTTTTCTGGGCAAGGAAAGTTCAGGCCCGAGTGTGAATTCCTCCGGGGACTGAAATCGATCATTGCTTCTGGATTTAGAACGAATCCATGACTTTGCAGAAACACCACAGTTTTACGGTGGCTTGGTTTTCCCATGTGTAGTAGTCATTGAACTGTAGCTCTGCTCAGCCTCATGGTCTCCGCTTTGCTCCGTAGTCCTGTGCTAGCTGATTTCTTCTGGCTGCGTTGAAGTCTGCCCTTGCTTGTGGAAGACGCGCTCCGTTTCTCCGCTCGGGGGTCTTTTTGGTACTGTTTAATGTTGTCAGTATTTGGCAGGAGCGAGACCAATAGTAATGCAGACTCCCCTAGGAAGCTGTCGTATCATTTTGCTGTTACTCAGGAGGTCAGACCGGCTGCTCCTGTTAGTGCATTAGCTGTAGCTGTGCGTGCCGTCATTCTGACCAGTGGTGTAGTGGGAGGAAGTGTAGGGGTTGGTGGATGTCCCTGCGCCAAGAGACAGTCCTCCTGGGTGTGTGGAGAGGAGCTACAACCCCATGGTCTGCCTTCCATATCTGTAGCCTCCTTTTACGTGTCTGTCAGGGAGTGGGTGTTTGGTTTCAAATAAATCCTTTAATTTCTTACAGTGCTTTTAAACCAGGGGATTAGACAAGGTATTCAGAGACCTTCAATGGCAGGGGGTGGGACTCTTGAGGCTAACAGCAAAGGGCATACAGAAATCCATGAAAGGAAATAGAGACCAAAAAATGGTGGTGAGGATTTTGAACAGAGATGTGGTAAATTGGTGGGGCAGTTAGTTACCCAAGGATGAAGTCTTTAAGCCAAGATCAGTTGTCTTTTTGAATGACAAGCTCTACAGAGCACATTAAAAGCAGTAAGACATTGCCTGAATGGCCTTCTCTGCCTAGCTTTCTGCAGGGTAGACAGGGTGGTGGCAATGCTGCTTTCTTAAACAAAGCCGTATGTTCAGAAGGGCTACGTTTGGCTTAAGAAAAAAAAAAATCAGAGGAAACAAGCAAACAAACAAAGAAAAACCCACATGAAACTTGCTCTGCCCTTCTTCCCAAACAGCTGTAACTTACACTTTTGTTGTGGCTCGTTCATTTGCAGGTCCATCACCAGAGCCTACTACAGGAACTCGGTTGGCGGACTCCTCCTCTTTGACATTACAAACCGCAGGTCCTTCCAGAATGTCCACGAGTGGCTAAAAAAAGGTGCACGTCCAGCCATACCAGATCGTCTTTGTTTTGGTAGGTCACAAGTGTGACCTTGACACACAGCGGCAAGTCACCAGGCACGAGGCTGAGAAACTGGCTGCTGCGTATGGTATGAAGTACATTGAGACCTCAGCTCGGGATGCCATTAACGTGGAGAAGGCCTTCACTGATCTGACTCGAGATATATATGAGCTTGTTAAAAGGGGGGAAATTTCAATCCAGGAGGGATGGGAAGGGGTAAAGAGCGGGTTTGTCCCAAACGTAGTGCACTCTTCAGAAGAAGTGGTGAAGTCAGATAGGCGATGCTTGTGCTGAGCTCTTCTAGTGAGGCAAGTGGTGATGAACTCTACTAACCAAACATACTTTTACTAAGTGAACTCAGTGTGACAGAAGGGAGAGCAACACTCCTGTTGTGAACAGCCTCCCACGTTGTTTTGGACACCAGAACAGAGCCCGGAAAGAAATGTTCTGTTCCAAATAACCTTTCAGAACTGGGGGCTACAAACCTAAAGGAGAGTGAGTGAGGGTGCATGTAGATGTTGTAAGGAGACAGCAGAAATGAGGGGCTGCACGAGACAGGGGAGAGCAGAGAGCTGAATGGGTGGGCACGTGCCAGGGTACCGTACATGTCCTCTTTTAAGTAAATCTGTAGCTCCATGCTGGGTACTGATGCCGCAGTATGGCTGCTTTAGCAGTGTGACAAATGGGCAGACAGAGAGGAAGGAAGAGGACATCTTCATTTGCGGCAGCGGTTTAGTACCAGGGAGGTATAAAGGCACCACAGGTACCCTTTCCTCATAAGGCCAACTCCACAGGAAGAGTTTATTGACGTGGTGTGCACACTTCTGAATTTTCTTATGTTCTTGAACCTAGTTCGATAGCAAAGAATATTCTGTGGGATTTAAAGAGGAAAACAGTAGTTATTTGATTGGTATTTAAAATTTAAATTATTTCCCCCCTCCAATAGTGCTTTTTTTTGCTGTGCTGAACTGGGATTCTAAGTGGCAACTCCTGCTCCAGTAGTAATTCTTCAATGCATTTTTACGCATTTACTGCCTAGGTGAGTACCTTGAAAGTACCCTGAGTTCAGGGCTTTCCAATAGAATTAATGCTCAAGAGCATAAAGAGAGAACTATGTCCTCGTATCTTAAGGCTGGGGTGTTGCAGCCAGGTGGGACACACCAACATTTCTGTGCTGACATTTGGGGTGTCTTACCAGCCAGGTCACAAGGAGGAATGGAAAGGAGGGGAAAAAACCCCACCCAACAAAATAATAAAAAAAAACCCAAACCCCAACAACAAACCAACCTTGAAAATCTTAACTCAGGTGCATCAGACATCCTAAAAGGTGAGATTTGTTTTTAAAGAAGTTAAATAGCACGGAAAGCAATGGCTTCCATCAGTGCTTGCTGCTGTTAAAGTGTCATTTTCTTTCTTGGCCTCTGTGGAAGAAGAGAACTAGCACTGGGAAGGAGGAGCACACAACAGAAGTGTCTGAGCAGGGGGAAGGAAAGCCACAAGACAAGCTCAAGAGTAACATTTATTTTCTTCCATGTTATAATTTGACAAAAGAGGATCCATCTCAGGTTGGTCACGATGGGATAGTAGCTGTGCTACAGAAGCTGTATGTAGGTGGATGTTTTCTGGGAATGCCGTTCACCACTTAGAAGCTTTGCTTCTGCTGAGTTTTAACTTAAGCTTTTGAAGTGCAGCAGGGTAACAGTGTTCCTGCAGCAGACTAGGGAAGTTCAGCCTATTAAAAGCAAACAAACGAAACTGTAGTGACTTTTTTTAAAAAAAAAAACAAAAAAACTCACGTTTGCAAGCTTTAGTCACCAAACTGCTAATGGGCAGGAGGGAGGGATTAGGTAAAAACCACAGGAAGCATCTAGTGGTTGATTTTAGGCCTCTAAGTAGAGAAGAATAAAAGATTTGTTGCAGCTTTTTAAGTTGTCCCAGCTATAAAAGTCTGGGTCTTGATTGCTGTTGAGTTCAGACTATTTCTCCCCTTGAACCTGTCCTCACAGTTTGTAGACCATGGACAGGTCTGTGTGAAGAAGAAAAAAAAACAAAAAAAAACCCCAAACAAAACCCAAAACCACCCTGTGGTTTCCACATTAAAACCAAACACAACAAACCCAACCCAACAACGACAACCCTGAAAACAAATATTATTTTTATTTTCAGTGTTCTGGGAACAATCTCGGTTCCTGGGCTCCGCAGGGGACCAGCAGTGTTGCACCTGCTGGGAGGGGCGGCAACGGTCTAGCACCTTTCCGTAAGCCTGTCACTGCTAACCCCTCACTGCTCGAGGCTGTAAACCTATGGAAAAAAACTTGTGCTAAAGCCTGGTGAATGCCAGGCAGAGTCAGTTGTGGTTGCGTTGAGTGCCCTGAAGATTGAAAGCAATCAATCAATCCCTTTAAAAAATTTCTTTCTAGGTAAGCAAAGCTGGAGAAGATTGATGCAGCGAGCGCCACAGGAGCTTGGCTGCCATGGGCTCTCAGGGGCTGCCACCAGTGGAGAGTACACGGTTTGCTCGGAGCAGGTCTGTTAGTCATATTGTCACACAGGCAAAGGCGAGCAAGTGCAAAAGGGGCCATTTCTTCAGCCTTAGGCTGGAGATCCGCCAAGCAACTGCTTGGTCCTTCAGGGCCCGGCTGGTCACCGGGTGTCTTGGGTTGCCTGGCTGAGGGGAGCAGCTCTCTGCAGGCAGAGCTGGAGTGCTACAGGAACAGCAGTTAGAAATTGGCTGAAACAGCATTTTAGCAATAGTAAAATTCTATAATTCTCTGTGCAGGAACCTGGCCAGCAGGTGGGGGAGGGCGGGCTCATTTTTCATGAGACAACCAAATATTTTATGTAATGGGTTTTGGACAGTCCCCTTTACTGCTCCCAGAGAGAAATTCCAGAAAGCCTAAATAAGTAATTACATTCAGGCCTTCAGAGTAACTCTTCAATTCAAAAATACAAGTGTCATAATTCTGAAGAAAATGTACGCAGTCTTAAATACTTAGAGGTAATAAATGGTTATATTAAATGATAGAGAAATCATTATATACATCTTTTTCTAATGCCTTGCATTTTCTAGACAGCTTATTAAAATATAGGAAATGTAGATTCATCTGTACAAAATTTGGAATGTTTTTTCTAAGATGAACTTATAGGATATGCTAAGAATTCTTTTCTAACAACTGGTTTTAATGCTTTGACTTCTAGTGCAAGAGGGATTTAGAGACATCAGAAGGTGATACCTTTCACAGGATAAAGGTCAGGAGCTCTTTTACTCTAGGAAAAAAAAGGAAAAAAAAAAAGCTAACTTTCTGTGGTCTCTACCACGTTAAAAACAATCTGCATGTTAGATTGAAATTGCTCAGAACCTCCAGAATAAAAGCATACTATATACTTTCCTCGCTTTCTGTTATGCACTGTAACAAAATGTGAAAATAATGCTGTATTTAGCTGTCTGTATGTGACTGAAAAATATGCTTGTATTTAGCAAAATGGTTACTATGTGATAATGTGAAATTCAAAACTTGTAAAGAAACTTCGGTGGTTTATTTTTCTTTCCCCCTCCCCATTCTTAACCAGTCAGCCATCTACTACCCGTCCTGCTCCTAAACCGCAGCCATAACTGAAAGTCAAACCTGGGCTGGCCCAGCAAGGAACAGGCACTCTGTGCAGCCGTATCTGCTCTGTTTTTCTCCGAAGGCCCACTGCTTGGTACCTTGCTGGAAAAAACGGTGCAACTACAGAAGCACTGACCCTTCTAAACCAAAACTAAACCCCCAACCCAAAAGCCCCGCTCTCTGCAGCAGTAGCCAGAACCAGCCGTAGCCCCCGCTCTGGGCGGCCTTTCCCAGCAGCAGGTAAAACCGCTCCGGCAGGCTGACCACCTGTTCTTGCTCAAAGTAGCAAAGATTCAACAGCGAAGGACAGAGCAAGGATCAGTCATAGGGAAGCTCGAGTTCTTCTCTATTTTTTCTGTTTTCTTATATATTTCCTATCAACCAACCAACCACCCAAAACAAGAGTTCTGGTGGCCACAGCCCTCTCCCATCTACACCCCCCCCTCCAAGCCAGACACCTTTTGAACCTGCTGAGCGATTCCAGCTCTGATGCTGCCCCCGACTCCCCTCCCCGCCCCCGATGCTCAGCAGCAGGTCCCTGGCAGTTGCCCACAGTATGTGTTTTGCTCGTGCAGAAACGCTTAACTCGGCATTTCATTGTGCACAACAAAAAGGCAACTGCTGCCTTTGGACCAGCCAGAGGGAGGGGTGGGGAGCACGCTTCAGCCTGTTGGGATCTCATTAATCCAAATTGTA